AGCCTGCAAGGGTCAGCCCAAAGTGGCCTTGCCTTGGAAGGGTTCCTCGTCATGAAGAAAAAGTATTTTGCTGGGATTGGATCTTCTTTAGATTCAGATAATAATACAACAAACTTACTAATACAAGAGCTATTTTTCCCTTTTTAAAGTTACGTCATGTGCTACAAAAAGCCTGAGAAGAGTTGCTCATAAGTTGTAATAATACATAGTTATCATTATGATTTATAATGCATTCTTCTGTATGATATTTCATTACCAAATGAGGTAACACATTGAAGTCAATTATCAAGTAATGTAAGTTGGCAAAAACAAAGTTGGGACATTATAAACGTCGGGTCTAGTTCAAATGCGCAAAATGTAGGACAATTACACACTCTACTATTTATTTTAATCTCCAAATAAAATAATTAGTGGAAAGTACTAATTACCTTATCAAAAACAGGTACAATATTCTTGTTCAAATAGTTGAGAAACCTATTACTTGATGCCCCCCTCTGGAAACCCAAAAAAAAAAAAAAGTTAAGGTGGACAGATAATCATATAATCCACTAAATTTGGTAAAATTGATTGCAAATACAATTTGTACCGTAAAAAATGGAAGAGCCATATGCAGGCAAGATATTAATCTGTCAATGTGGTCACCATCTGAAACCTGCAGCAGCAACCGTTGTTATACCATATATGCAAGACTGAAAAGTTGTTATATATGCGTGGTCCTTCGTATTTTGAAATAAGAAGGGATGTAATAATCAATGACAACAACACTCAAATGATACAAAGCATGACCCTCCAGTTCAGCCAGTAACTTATCTAAGATTAAATCATGATAATTGGCACGCAACTATTGATTTCTTACATATAAATGTCAAATTAGAACACACACCGGTTGTTCCAATTTATAAACTAAGCCAGAGGCCCAAATAAATGCAAGTATTTAGCAAAACTCCTTTTTAACAGCAAAACAGAATGAATTGATGGAGAAGATTCAATAAATTGAACGTTTTGTTACAAATATGTTAAGCAGTTCAATTTTCCAAATACTGTGTTACAATTTAATGGTAGAGAGAGAGAGACAGAGTGAGTGAGTTAGCACAGTATTTACCAAGTATGGGGATACATATCCAAACTTCAGCAAATACTTGAGTGTGTTCTGAACTAAAAGCCCAGCAACAACCCCCTACAAACCAATTCAAGTCACCAGGTGTCAAAATGGCAGCAGAGGAAATGGATAAATGACAAATTTACATGGTCCATTGGCAGCACAATCAACTATTTAAAAATCAAATTTACTTGTCTCAACATGTATGAAGAAAGTAGCATAAAATTGGAAAGGTAACAAATTGCTCGAGTACTAAAGGCATCAAAGAATAAATTATGGATGACAAAAGCAATGTTGCAGAATAAGCATGTCAAATTTCCATTGCAAATCTGCATCTACAATCCATAAGAACATTTGTACCGAGGAACAAAAATCTTTGCCATATTTAAAAGTCAACCCCCATACTGAGAAAGAGGTAGATAGAAGTCAAAAGAGCTTGGAAGATGGAGTAAAATCATTACCATGGTAGTAGGTAAAGATGCAGCACAGACCCCTTCACGCTTGAGCGTTCGTTCATCTACTCCAGATGCTACAACCTAGAGAAAAAGATAAATCCAAAGTTCACTTTTGATTTAACAATTCATCAATGTGTAAATTGTTACAAAAGAAGTGCAATAATTTAGCCTAGTGACCCAGAAACAATTTTCTACTGCATATGTACCATTTTTGTACCAATTAAACATAATCACACTGGCTTAGTTTAACCATATGTAAGTTCAAAACTGCACAACTACATTAAGGTTCCCAATGTAGGGTTATAACTCCAAAATTATCCAAAATCAGAAAAATGATTGAACCTACCAAAGGTGGTGCACATGCAAAACATGCTGTTTCTCCAGGAATTAGCAATTGTATGTGACCTGAAACAGCATCCTCAGACACACCTGTCCATTGTACCCCTTGTATCAATATGTCGTCAATGTTTCACAGGCGAAGCACAAAAATTCTTGCATGTGATTATCGCAAAGAAGTACATCATAAGCTACAATGAAAAAAATAAGGCCTGAAAAACTTGTCCACCATTTGTGTTGGAAATTCCCACATACTGCAGGTGCTAATGCATTCAGGTACAGCCCAAAAAAATAAATAATCTGGCACGCAATTACGAGAAAAAAGAGTGCCATTTACCTGTCGTCAAAACCTACGAGTCATGAGCCCAATGCTTTAGGGTTTAAGACCAGTGCTTTAATCATGCTATGATGCAATTGAAACAATAAATAGTGTCTTTGGTGTGTTCTAAACTTTTCATAAGCATCTTCTCATAAGCCGTTGAAGAAACCTTTATTTCTTTCTTTCCTTCCCCCTATTTTGATCAATTAAGTAAAAGAAGAATTTTCCTTCGTTTGTTTTCTAAGGAATAAGCTTGGATCTTGCATGTGATTATCTCAAAGAAGTACATCATACGCTACAATGAAAAAAATAAGGCCTGAAAAACTTGTCCACCATTTGTGTTGGAAATTCCCACATACTGCAGGTGCTGATGCATTCAGGTACAGCCCAAAAAAATAAATAATCTGGCATGCAATTACGAGAAAAAAGAGTGCATTTACCTGTCGTCAAAACCTACAAGTCATGAGCCCAATGCTTTAGGGTTTAAGACCAGTGCTTTAATCATGCTATGATGCAATTGAAACAATAAATAGTGTCTTTGGTGTGTTCTAAACTTTTCATAAGCATCTTATCATAAGCCGTTGAAGAAACCTTTATTTCTTTATTTCCTTCCCCCTATTTTGATCAATTGAAAGTAAAAGAAGAATTTTCCTCCTTTTGTTTTCTAAGGAATAAGCTTGGACTCAACCAATGTTCTATTTCGCCTTCGTCCTATACTTGTAGCACCTTTCAATTCGACTAAATTATTCCCTAATAAATGAAAACATATAGATCACATAGAACAAGGTAAGATATATATAACAATTAAATCAGATTGTTGGGCTGATATTTTGTAAAAATAGATTTTAACTGAATTGGGTTCACTGTACAAGGTTTTGGTTGAATTGGGTTCACAGTTCATTTCAATACATCAATAAAATTCTCAGGTTAAATACCAATTTTCTCCTGTTATGTAATTCCGCATCAACATGCTACACCACTATCTTTGTCAAACCACAATATAGTATCTCACCTCAGCTGATAGCCAATGAAATATAGAAAACAAATTTTCAAGCATTAATTCACTGTACTAATTTGTCTAACCTAATATAGACTGCAAGACACCTGTCAGAATACAACTACACTGGATGATATTCCAAGGAACAAAAAGATATAGTCCCAATCCATCTGAGTAACAAATACAATTCTAAACTTTTCACTACATGCCAGCATATTCAACTGATTTTTGCACAACAAGATCAAACAAGTTCCCTCACGGATTTTTAAAAAAAAATGTTTCTTACCAGACTCCATCCATGTCTGATTCAATTCGTTGCAGGCCTGTTAAATAACAACTAAATTAGCTAAATATCTTATTCTTAAATTTCAAACAACATAGCAAGATTACTCCCTCATTAATATAATAAACTATTAACCAAATGGCTAAATCACAGCTATCAAAAAAAATTAATAAAGACGGCAAAAATCCTGCCCGTTATAGCATTACCTGATTTACAACCATCCTTGCTTCATAGTTATCCACACAGCTTAATACAAGATCCACTCCAATTCCTTGTTTGCTTGGGCAAAATGTTTTGTTTTTAAGACTTGACATAAAAGTTTCAAAACCTTGCAATGTTGTGATGTTCAGTGTATAACTCTAGGCAAAAAAACAAATTGATCAGTGTGGGACAATGACTAACAAAACATGACCAATAAAAATATCACTATATTTTGAATGTAGACAACACATTATACATCACATGATCTTTCCACACACACAAAACAAAGAAAAAGGAAAAAGGATCAAATGAGCAACCATAAACTACCAAAAACAAACTACACACACACACACACGCCAAAAAAAAAATTACCAAGACTGGAAGAGGTTGGTCTGAGCACTCAAAGATACAAAGCTAAATGAGAAGGAAATTTCTACATTTCCATTAACTATACTACATGTAGTTTTATTAGAGGTCATTATGTCAGATTCTACACATCCATGTTGACCACCAGCACATATGCCTGTGTCCCTTGTTACATCCATGTTGGCCACAAGCACCTATGATGACATGGAGCTACATACCAGGTATACAATAACCCAAAATTAGGTAGTGTAGTGGTTAAGCTATAAAATGCCTATATAATATATATATATATAGAGAGAGAGAGAGAGAGTGTTGTAGGAACATTAGATTTTGAAATTAAGATAGTAGGGTTGTACATTAGTGTTCTAGTGGTGCTTGTTCATGGACCTACCTGAAGAGAAACATACACCTAATTTTCACAGAGCTTGGAACCCCATGGGGTCTATGTGGTTTTATTTTAAAGGCAAACATTGTTCTTGCTACCGCACGACATATGTAAGCTGTACCGTACTCCTCTACTCCATGAGAAGCATCTTGAAAAACTGAAGTTAAATTTGTTTACATTTGGTGTAAAATTGTAAAGAAAAAAAGATGACCAAAAAAAAAAAAACTCTATATATTGTGATTTATGACTTGAAACTTAAATAGATTTGCATCTCTAGGTTACTTTTGCTGATAGTACATTTCCTAAAGGTCCTAGACATGAATCTTTACCTGAAGTAAATCCTCTAAGTAAACGTTAAATTTTTTTTTTGATTCATAAGTAAACATTAATGACAGCATCATGACGAAGGGCTGAAACATTTTGCAGTACTTCTCATGATCTCTAAGGAACAAATTACCCTCGTAAAAACTAAATGGAAAAAGATAATCATATTTCCTGTCTTCAAATCTAGAGCTCATTTAAAGACACTGTGCTAGCACTAACATCACAATCTCATTTACAAATCACTAAAAAATGAGAGCAAATTTAAGATAAATGATAATTTAGCATATTTTATGACCCCAATGGCCATAAGGGTAAAAGAAAAAACATTAAATACTAACCTCAAGTACAACATCCGGATTAATATCTGAAAGGGTCTGAACAGCAGCATCAGTCTTTGTCATACCAACCTGAAAAATTCAAATCACATTGCTCTAAGTTACTAGGGATGCATAATTATCAATTTTTCTTACAAATTTTTCACAAAAATATCATGTAAAGATCCTGAATTCTTATATTAGGAGGCTCTGGGCCACATGAAGGGTAGAGTTGTAATAGGCTACTTAGAGGGTTCTTGGTCTTAGTCACAACCAAAGAGCACTGCCACTAAAATATCATGTAAAGATCCTGAATTCTTATATTAAGAGGCTCTGGTCCACACAAAGGGTAGAGTTGTAATAGGTTAATAGGCAATTTCAAAATCTTTTCCGCCCAAACAAACAAAGTGTAAAGCATATCAAATCCAAAAATATGAGAGAGAGAGAGAGAGAGAGAGAGAGAACCTGCTCTGGGCGAAAGAATAACCTATTCATGTTTGCCAACTCCACTTTGTCATAATCATACAACAAAAGACGGCCTATGCCACATCTTGTTAGCATTTCAGCTGCTACACTACCTACGCCTCCTATTCCCTGTAGAATAATTAATAAAAGAACATTACACCACGTGGAATATTAGTGTTCTAGCTGAACTTATATAACAACTCAATCAATACACATGCTTGCAAAAACTGAAGTCTTTAACCTAAAACTGCTCCAAACAAAGCCATGTGAGATCCAAAGTGGGTAATTCTTGCTAATATTTTTGCCCCTAGTCTAAGAGTATAAACAAAAAAATCTTACCATAATAAAAATGAAATACTCAGTCATGTTATACACCTTATCTTCTTAATGCTCCACAAGGGGTTTGCATAGAGAAAGTGTATGATGTAGAGAAGGAACTAGCAATCCTGAATTCTAAATAACTAAATTATTTTATACTATATGTGTCAGTTTCTATATGTAGATGCATATGTATAATTGAACACAATTATCACAAGCACCAATTCTAATTTGAGTATCTATGAAAGTAACAAATCGTAAAAGAAATATATATAGTGAGACGGAAGGTAGAAAATGGTAACCATAATATTTCTGGAAGTTAAAATCTTCTAACAATATTTGTACCCAACATACATAAACATGCACAACCATATGCATAAAAATGAAGATAATATACTTTGGGCTCTAAAGCAACAAAAGGATTATAGAAAGGGACTAATACAGACAACTATGGCAACTGAGAATTCCCGTATTCTTTCATAATTCTCCACAATACCCATCCTCTGAAGTGCCATAAGCCTACTGTAAGGATTGCTATCTACCACCTCAGCACTCATATCCTGCCACCAACATAGTTATACAACCATCAGCAATATAATCATTACTAATGAATGAAAGTTAAAACAAAGCAATCAAGAAAAACGAAATATGGAGACATAGACCTTGACTTTCAAACGCCGACCAGGTGCAGACTTTGCAAGATTGGTGAGATGCTCTACCCGCAATTGCATCTAAACACAAAATACAACCAAGTTCATCAAAAGCATGCAGATAACAATGTTATATTTCTCAATAGTTACAAAGCTTACTCAAGCACGCAATGATTGCCTTAAACCTCGGGTAGGCAGTAGAGGAAGTAAAACATGCATATAATATTTTTTGGGAGTCCTCATTCCTAAAGATGAAAAATTCCATCCAATAAAGGCGGACAATTGTACTATGTTCAGCAAGAAAAATTACACTTCTAACATTTGATTCCATTGTTTTTCCTATATTTTCTCAACAACCAAACATGGCCTAAAGAAATACCCAAGTTCATCTATTCTTCATTGGTTGGTCAAGTTGAGACATCTCATGGCACAAGTAGCATGACACATGGAACTACTTTTTTTTTTTTTTTTCCTTCTCCAAATAGAATTACTAATTTACAAATAGGCACAACCAAATTTATCATACTTCCCACATAAAGAATACCCAATTCAAAACAATCACTAACTAGAAGACTTTGTACAAAACTACAACAAACCAACCTAATTCATCCCCACATTCTGTCTATTCACTATCTTTGCTCAAAATCAACATGCAAATCTTCATTGGTTGGTCAAGTTTGAGATGTCTCGTGTCCCCCCCTCTCATATTCCAAATAGAACTAGTAATATACAAATAGGCACAACAAAATTTGTTAAACTTCCCATGGAAAGAATATCCAAATCAAAACAATCACTACCTGGAAGACTGTACAGTCCATAGCTCTGTAAATCAACCAAAACTAGACAAACCAACCTAATCAATCCCCACATTCTGTGTATTTGCAGTCTTTTCTCGAACTTAACATGCTAATCTTCATTGGTTGGTCAAGTTGAGACGTCTCATAGCACAGGTTGCACGACAAACAGAATTGCTAATATACAAATAGTTACAAATGAATTTATCAAATTTCCCATACACAAAATACCCAATTCAAATAATCACTACCTAGACAACTCCACATAGTCCATAGCTATGTAAATCAACCAAAACTATGACAAATCAACCTAATTCATCCCCACATTCTGTGTAATCGATATCTTTGCTCAAAATCAACATGCAAATCTTCATTGGTTGATCAGCTGTCAAGTTGATGTCTCTTATAGCACAAGTTGCATGACAAATAGAATTACCAATTTTTTTCTTCTTCTCATAATCCAAATAGAATTACATATATACAATTAAACCCAACCGAATTTATGAAATTTCCCACACAAAGAATACCCAATTCAAAACAATCACTACCTAGACAACTCTGTACAGTCCATAGCTCTATAAATCAACCAAAACTAAGACAAATCAACCTAATTCATCCCTAACTATCTTCGATCAAAATCAACATGCAAAAACGAATGATGGCGATTAGAGAGATAGAAGAAAGAGAGAGAATAAAACAAACCTTGTCGATGGAAGAGTGAAGAGAGGGATGATCAGGTAGGGATCGTTTGAGAGTATCGAGATCAGTGAGCATCTCTTTCAGCTCCGCCTCCATTGCCGCTGCTACTTTTTTCACAACACCACTAATTAGCTTTCTCAAGGTGGGTTTAATTGGGGGACTACGGCCTGGTAGCATTATAACTTATAGTTATAACTGTGAATTTGATTTATAAATTAAGTTTTTTCTCTTTTATTTAAAAAATAAATTAATTTTTAATTTATAAAAAATTATAAATTGTATTGTTAAATTAAATTAAATATATTAAAATAATTTAAATTAAATTAAAAATCATAATAAATTAAAAATAAGTCTTACTAAACAGGGCCTATGTATGATTTGAATTTTGGAAATCTAGCTTTCTTTTTTTTTTTTTTCTGGCCTTCGTTTGGGGTTTTTTGAAACAATTCTCAAAGCAAAGCAAAAGCCAAGAAAGGAGGGAGGTTGCAGAGGTGATTAAAGGTGATCATAAGTAAGGAAAACATGAAATAAATGCTAGCAACTCAACTAGGATGGTGGCTAAGGCTTGAACCACCAAACCTATGAGGACAATTGCACTACGAACATGTAATACAAGGATGAAATGCAATGAACACTTAAAAACAGTCCTAAAACAGTGCTAAATAAGTCATAAAACATACAAAATCCATGCCAAACATAGCTAAAATAATATCATTGTATAATAAATAAATTAGATTATATCCTATCTAATTTTTATTTTTTTTAAAAAAAATGGATTATATATATGTACAATACAGTATGTCTTTTCTCAAAAAAATTACAAATTAATGATAAATCTTACAAATTTTAATAATTAAAATTATTAACCTTTTCACTATTTTATAAATACTTTTTGAAAAATCACTAGTGGGTTAATGGGGAAATTACCACTCAGGTGGGGTTTTTTTTTAAATTATTATAAATTAGTGAAAAAAATTATAATTATAATTATTAATATTTGTAATGTTTATAACTTTTTTTAAAATATTTTTTACTGAATATCATTAATGTGTAAGTTTCCCTTAGTTAAAAGGTAAATCACACTCTTGTTGGCATCATAAATAAACAAATAATAATATTATTATTATTCATAAATTGTAGGACATGTGGCACTCTTCTACCCATTTGGAGGTTATGAGAAGTTATGAATCATTAAACACATGTGAAAAGATGATGGAAACGTAGAGGATCACGGAGCGTGAATTGGAGGTTAAAGGAAGTTATGGAGACATAAAGATGAAGTGGAAAATCATTGAGTGTAAAGTGTGGGAAATGGAAGAATGTGATACTTATGAAGTAGTTTTTCCTTACAAATGTTTGCTTATAAATAACCATTAATGACTACATTGTAAAGATATCTCCAGAACTCAAATCAAAGACAGTTGATTTCTATTTTTCTTATCACTTAATTTCTTGCACTTTATTTTATGCATTTCATTTTCAAAGCATAGGAGTAGAGGTAAATTTTCTGCACTTTATTTTATGCATTTCCTTTTCGAAGCATAGGAGTAGAAGTAAATTTTCTGCACTTTATTTTCTGCACTTGCTTTTTGAAGCATATGAGTAGAAATAAATTAATAGTTAGTTTGATTGTTTATTCAATCATCCTAATTGTTCACTCAATCATCTTTCTCCGTCTCTCATTTTTCTTTTAATTTTTCTTTTCTCTACACTTTGTAATTTAAAAGCTCTCTTCATTGAGGCAAAAGAACCGTCAATACAATCGCTTGATAATTGGCTTGAATTTAATCTGTAAGGATTTTTCAATCCTTGGTGGCACGCTCGCATTTATGATATTTTCTTTTGTAGGAAAAATAAGCTAACAATTTTTGGCACGTCCAGTGGGACTGGAATGTAAAGAACTGAAAAGTAAATAACTAAAAAATAAAGAACTAGAAAAGATGTAAAGTAAGATAAACTGGTTTCTAGATTTGGATCTGGTCCCACTGGGCGTGCCAAAAAATAGTTGTCTTATTTTTTCTACGAATGAAAATATCATAAATGCGAAGGTGCCAACAAGGATTGAAATTTTTTTATAGATTAAATTCAAGTCAATTATCAAGTGATTGAATTGACAGTTCTTTTGTCTTAATGAAGAGGACTTCAAAAATTGCCAAATTAAAAGAAAAAGGAGGGAGACGGAGAAAGATGATTGAGTGAACAATCGGGGTGATTTTTTTGGCTTTCGAAGGTTAAAAATGTAATTAGAGCGTGCTAGCAAAGATCAATAAGTCCTTACAGAAATATTAAATGCCAACCAATTAACAAGCGATTTCTTTGAAATTCTTTTAGCCTCATTAAAGAGGACTTTTACTGGTGGCTTATTTTAAGAGAAAATTCAGAAGACTAATCACAAAATACAAGGAATAGGGAGAACCAGATCCAAGAACTAGTTTATTTTACTTTATATTTTCCTGTCCTTTACACTTCTAGTCCTTCATTTTCCAGTTTTTTATTTTCCTATTTTGCACTTCAAATTCCTAAGAGTAGTTCTAAGTTAGTTTGTCGCTATAATATCCTTCAAAGTTGTAAAAGTGCCAAGGTACATTTGTAAACTTTTACTTAATGAAATTTGATTTTTGACACTGTTTCTTCATATTCCTTGTATTTTGTGATTAGTCTTCTGAATTTTCTCCTAAAACAAACCATCAGTAAAAGTCCTCTTCATTGTCGACTTATTTTTCTATGAAAGAAAATACCATAAATGCGAGCGTGCCAGCAAGGATTGAAAAATTCTTACAGATTAAATTCACGCCACTTATCAAGCGATTATGTTGACGATTCTTTTGCCTCAATGAAGAGGACTTCAAAATTGGCAAGTGTAGAGAAAGACGAATTAAAAGAAGGAGGGAGACGAAGAAAGATGATTGAGTGAACAATCAAAGTAACAATTAATTATCTCTACTCCTATACTTTGAAAATGAAGTGGTGAAAATAAAGTGCAGAAAATATAAATGACAAGAAAAAAATAGAAATCAATTATCTTTGATTTAAGTTTGATCACCTCGATTGTTCACTTAATCATCTTTCTCCGTCTCCCTCATTCTTCTTTTAATTTTTGTTTTCTCTACACTTGAAAATTTTGAAGTTCTCTTCATTGAGGCAAAAGAGCCGTCAACACAATCGCTTGATAATTGGCTTGAACTTAATCTGTAAGGATTTTTCAATCCTTTCTAGCACGCTTGCATTTATGGTATTTTCCTTCGTAGAAAAAATAAGCCAACAATTTTTTGGCACGCCCAGTGGGGTGTCAAATGTTAGAAATGAAAAATGAATTGGATTCGTTCATTCCAAATATCTTAGATGAAATCTTTTGGCGTAAACAAAAAATTTTGGATCTTCAAGAAGAGATCAATTTTCTTGATGAAACAAACTTCCATGCATTACAATATTATTTAGTGGAAGAAAAAAGACATGATTTAATTGGAGAAATTCATGAACTTGATATGGAAGTTCGCCAATGGAATGATGAGTTGTCAACTCCCACTACCAAGTCTTTAACCGAGACTTTAATGGCCGGAATTGGTGAATTTTTTCAGAATTCTTTCAGTGTTGAAAATCCCAAAAGGAAAGAGTTGATTTCATCAATAGCTCGGAGGAGGGGGGTTAAAAAATCTATTTTTAAAGAGCCAACTTATGAAAATAATATGGCTAAAAAACATGTTGTTGAGTCAAACATGGTTAAAAACGATGTTCCATAAAAGGCTCGGGGGGTTGAAAAACTCATTCTTAGAAAGTCAAACCATGGAAATAGCGTGTCTATGAAGGATTTTCATCAGTCATTAATGGCTAAAATGGAACAACCAATTAAGCCAAGAAATGATGAAACTCACATGGAGGATTTTCATAAGCCGTTAATGGCTAAAATAAAAAAATAACCCCATTTGTCAATGAATGATTAAAGTTATTTGGCCAAAGAACAAGTTCTTAGACCAAACGTGATTAAAGATGATGATCAACTCATTGTTGATGGATTTAAAATATTTGACATTGTTGAAAATGTCAAAGCATTTGAATTTTCAAAGCTATATTATGCCATGACTTTCGGTGTTCAAAATTTATTTTGGATTCGTGGCTCGCATCAAAATTTAATTTTGATGAAATGGCTAATAAAACAATCATCTTTAAACACTGTTCCATCTATCATGATTTTATTAACAATCATCCTACCTCTAAGATTTTATCATGTTCACTTTGAAGGTATGTCAAAATATCTCGAAGGGCCACAGATTCGGCTCGAAGATGGGTTGAAGCTTTCCCAAAAGCACTTCTAAGGTCCATATATGTAGTTTGAAGGTAATTCGAAACTCGAAAACACTTCAAAGTTCCATATATTTAGTTTGAAGGTGGCTCAAAGCTCCCTCAAAAGCACTTCGAAGGTCCATATATTTGGTTAAAAGGTAATTCAAAACTCTGCAAAATACTTTAAAGTAGTGTAATTTGAAGAGTGTGTATGTTGTTTGTCACTTCGAAGCAATTCAAAGTAGTGCGATCGAAAGTGAAAATATATTGTTAAGGTTTGAAGAATCATGCTTTGAAGGTTTTGAAATTTCCATAGTCTTATGATGCATTGAAGGTCTCGAAGTAAAGAATAAAAGGGCCAACTGTTACTAATAGCTCAAAGAAAATAACATTGGCATGCATTGTAACTAAATCAAATTGATAATATTTTGCTAAGAATTCACTATTTCAAACACATGCAAAGTAATCCAATTTCGAAACACACATTAAAATTCGAAGCATGTGAAATTATTTTAATTATGTTTTGAAGCTTTATAAACTCTCTAAGTAGTTAGCTATTATGCATTCGAAGCTTTTAAAGCTTTTAAAATATGCCGTGAGCACCTTTGGAGCAAGGTTTTGTTTATTTTTTAACAAAAATTGAATCATATTGTATGATAAAAGAACCTTCGAATTTGTGTCTCCCTTCGAATACATTAATTAATTTCCAAATATGATCTAAATTGATGTACAACTCTTCATGAATTCGAGATTTCTAATTCAGAAAGAGTTGCGGGGGTAATATTGGAACCATAAATAAATAAATAATAATAATACTAATTATTATTATTATTAATAAATTGCACGACACATGGCACTCTCCTACTCATTTTGAGGTTATGAGAAGTTA